TGATGGCAGTGGTGGTGGTGGTGATGGTGGTGGTGGTGGTGGTTATGGTGGCGGTAGTGGCGGTGGCGGCGGTGGCGGCGAGTGTTACTAAGTAAACTAACTTACTACTAAGAAAAACTAAAAAACTGTAAACATAAAAAAGTAACAGCAATATAAATAAATAAACAACCTTTTAAATATGCAATAATTAGTAATAATTATAAATAAATAAATAAATACACTCAATTATGTTTTGGCACGCAACCTGCATCTACATCAGTAATTGATCTCCATTTCTTACCGCTGAGAGGAAGTTCCATAGATCAATGGTTCGTGCATTTCCGTAAGAATGGTATCTCAGGTATTCCTAAAATTAGCCACAAACGAGGCAACTTTAGTACATTAGCCTTAATGCGGGGGGACTTTGTCAACTTTTCTCTAAGATCCACCGCCCTACATGTGTGATTTTCGAATATGATTTTAGGGTGGGCGCGTAATTATGCCAACTTTTGCTTCCATCTACTCCGTACATGCTGAAATATAGTTGAATCAATCGATTGGAAAGGAAAACGACATTCTGCATAGAAGAGAAGTCTATAGCACGTATGATACCATCAGGGAAATATCGCATTTGATAAAGACGATATCAGAATGAGAAAACACATCACGATTGAAACACAGTCGTTGAATAATTATTGAATTACATGTTTGATAGCAGACGGTAAGACAAATTGGACGTTGAGTTGATGTCTTGGTCTTCATTTTAATATTGTTAACCAAAACCTCGCCAAAGCTCCTAGGTTAGATTATCGACTTCAAGGTCAAATATCATAGGGTCAAGATGTAAATAAACAGGGCATCTCCTGATATTGCCTCCGTTATGGAAACCGTTTATCGCGTGGCGGGTGTGGTTCAATTTCAAAATGCGAGCGATTTTCATGACGTACATATCTTCAGTGACACAGCTATCTATAAGTAATATGTGCACAAGTATATAATGTGGTGGTTTCCACGCCTTTGCGGGCCACCGACGCCAGGCTCTGTAAAACCATAGCCAATGCATCGTACCCTACCCTACCATTATCCATCAGTCATGCCTCTTCTCCAATACCTGCTAAACCTACCCCTTGCTTCTTGGTGCCTCTGGGCACAAAGGCCCTTGCCACAGCCCAAGCAGGGCGGTACCGCCCACACTGGGAACCACTGCATGCCTGCATGCCGCAGCCCTAACCACCACGTTTTGGTCGCCATGTTTCGACGCACACGCTTTGACCGTCATATTTTGACTGCGATGTGTTAACCGCTACGGTTTGACTGCAACGTTTTGACCCTCGTAGTTTAAACAACGCCGATTTTTGACCGACACGTTCGTAAACTCGTCGGCGATACACGCACACAAAGTGTTCGTCGATCTATACCTTCAACCCCGCGTGGAACGTGTCCTCGCCAAGGAAGAAGTTCATCATGCGGATGATCGACGCTCCCTTATCGTAGGTAACCGAGTCGAAGATCTCGTTAATTTCATCCGGGTGATGCACCGGTAGGTAGATGGGATGCGACGATCCCAGCGCGTCCAGGCGCATCACCGCCTGCAAGGCGTCTAGTAGAAACTGGTCCATCTGAAACGATGTTTGATGTGAAGATAAGAGGAGGAGGGCTATTCGTGTTACAAGAAACATAACTCGCAATCGTTTGTGTTCGCGTTGCCGTTCTGTGAACGTGTTTTTTTTTATTTACGTGCAAAATATTTGAGGTAAAGCACGCCACCTGTTTACCCGTATATATAGAAGATGTTTATAATGTTTCATAGAAGATGTTTATAATGACATGCACTGCTAGGGACATTTGTTGCGAACACTTTCAAACAATATCTATCGGTAAACTTGCGCTAGTATATACCATGAGCACGAACGGCATTACAAACGCGGTAATTCGTACCATTTTCCAGGTCGGTTCGTAGTGATCTTGCCCGAGATACTCGACATACGACGCGAAACCTTCATTCAGCCATAGATCGTCCCACCAAGCGGGACTTACCAGATTGCCAAACCACTGCAAACAAAAGCCGGTACATCGTCGATCGTCTATGACAACTGTTATATCGAAATATTATGTTGAATGAACACGTCGGCCTCCATTGTCTGGATAAGATGTCAAACGGCATAAGTAACCGCCTCACCAAATTTCTTATCAAGGTTGAGTTTATGAGTGAATATAATTAGGGGTCGATCATAACAGATTATGAGAAACCTTACTGTTATAGCCAGCAGTAGGATACAAAGCGATCCTTATTAAAGTAATACCACACAGTAATCACTTATCATATCTTAATCCGCCCACAACTTACATTACGCAATTATGGTTAGCCACCGTATTCGGAAATAATTTTTTTTTACTGTGAATAAATTATTTCACTGCGGTAAAATTATTGGTCTATTTACCCAATGTATACAAAAGCCTTGTTAAACGTGATATAACCGCCGTTAAATCACTTAATTGTCATCCAATTATGGGCCGTTATATATTATTATAGTTTTAAAGCCGTATAATTAATTCAATCTCAGTAGAAATACAGATTGGGTAAAAAGAGCTAAGATTTTACCGCGATAAAAACATTTTTCTCTGAATATACAATGGACAACCATAACATTATGCAAAGACATTCGGGTCGGCTGACACTAGGATTTTCGATTTCCACCATGTTTACACTGTTATTTACCCGAGTGTTAATTACAGTTACAATTTACCCGAGTTTTTTAATTACAGTTATATTTTACCTGAGTGTTATCATTACAGTTACAATCTACCTGAGTGTTAATTACAGTTACAGTTTACCTGATGCGCGATCTCGTGTGCGACAACCGTGCAGACGCGCTTCTTGTTGCTCTCAGACGACACCAGTGGATCGTACAGGAACGACGTTTCTCTGTAGATAATCAGCCCCCAGTTCTCCATCGCACCGGCAGCAAAGTCCGGCACAGCGACTGAGTCTGTGCGGCAGAGAGGCGATACAGGTCTCACGCGCGCGTTTTTTATATACATCACGAGGGTCATACTAATAGATATAATAATAGATTATAATAATAGATAATAATAGATCTATTATTATTCACTCCTGATACTATCAAGAGTGTATAATAATAAAACTAAACATAGATCATAATAATAGAATAATAATAGATCTATTATTATTCACTCCTGATCGTTACGATGTTGATGCGATCAGGAGTGTCATAATAATACATCTATTATATATATATATATATATATACATATATTATACACTCCTGATAATATAGATCTGTCTATCATCAATCATCATCTATCTATCATCATTTATTATCATAATCTATTATCTATCGATTATCTATCATCATGCATCTATATTATGACACTCCTGATACGATAACGTAACTCAGGAGGTGCCGGGTTACCCCTCAACGCGGCGAAAGTAAAACATGACTATACTCTCCCGCGACGGCGATTTTTTGATCGGCTACAAAGTTGACAAAAAAATTTCGGTTCCAGTCGCTCCGTACAGAGATGCGATGTTTCGAGTTAATTAGTTCGAGGATAAATTGCTGCTCTGCCTTCAAACGTCACGCGTTTCCACTAACTAGAATTCCCCGTTTGTAGCATTGTATATATCGCCAGTTTATCATTCGGTTTTCGCGTTCCCGGTTTATTGACGCATAGCATTCTTTCTCATTCCAGTAAATAGTCCTATCCACATAGTCGGCTGTTTTATTACGAGGTGTTAGTGGTTCTTTAAATATGCGATACAGCTATACAGATCTGCTGTGAATTATGCATCGCGCAAAATATCTCGTAGAGTGCTGAGATCGTGAACGGCAGGCTGCTAACGTTTGGGTTTGCGTTAATATTACATCATTTTATATACGGTACGCTGTATATCATTAATATTATGCACCATTTATTCATTATTCGATACTAAAAGCAATTACTTTAATTTGAACTCATGCGCATGAAATGTACATGCTGCTGGTTAGTTAGTCCTGACAGCATGTACGACAACGTGCATCGTCGTAGCCGAATATACTCTCTACCTGACTTATTTAACGGAAAGGGTATTCCAAAGTACTCCGTGTAATAGTCGATGATGGAGGCAGTAGAATCGCGCGCGTAATCCAGCTGTTTAATAGCTTCACTGCGAGCCCACACATTCACCTGAAATTACACACATTCACATGAAATTACACACATTCACCTGAAATTACATATATTCACCTGAAATTACATAAATTCGCCTGAATTAAATTACACACATTCACATGAAATTATACACATTCACCTGAAATTACACACATTCACTTGAAATTACACACATTCACCTGAAATTACATATGAAATTACACACATTCACCTGAAATTACACACATTCACCGAAACTTACGCACGTTGACGCGAAATTACGCACATTCACCCGAAATTACACACAGCTAGTTTACCTGAAGTGACACAATTGCACCGTAACTTGCACACATTAACCTACACACATTCCCTTGAAATTATTCCCCTTCACTTAAAATACCATCGCGGTTGCCAGCTGGGAGTGGCAGGCGACATGGCAGGTGGTATTTGTCATAAAAGTTTCCACAATAATTTAGTGAATAATTAAACAGATCTAAAAATATTAAATCTAGTGCTGCATCGCATGCAGGAGCAATGCATGTATATACACATACACATACACGCATGCACGCACGCACGCACGCACGCGTGCACACACACGCACGCACACACACACAAACATACCCGCACATATACACACGCACACACATACAAACACACGCACACGCACGCACGCACACACGCACGCACTCACGCACGCACGCACGCACGCCATAACCCGTGTCAGGCGATGGACGACGGTGGCGTTACCTTCACGGTCCCGTTCTGTGCAGTGCTGTTCTTGTATTCAAAGTCGCAGATGAGGAAGGCTAGAAGGTACGTGGACATCTTCACGCTTGTTTTGTAGTAGTCGGCGACCCAGCCATTGCTCCTGTTATTCGGCAGTAATTACGTTAAACGTCCAACATTATGTAAATTTTTAAACTCGCGTCAATTTTCAAATCTATTGATTATGTGACATTTCTGATTATTTTCCCCAGGCGGTGGTCATCATGGCTTTATGCCAGCCTATAATTGCATGAACGCGCATCAATATTTGCCTTCTATGTTGTAATTCCTTCCCACTTCTCCAATTCTATGCCATTCCCCTCCCACCCCCGTTTCTGCACCTTTTCTCTGATCGTTCTAACTCCATGTTTGATAGCGACGTCATGTTCGATCGTCGAACCAGAGTGACCTTGAAGGTGGCCTTTAGTGCTGGCTCGTCGAAGCATGGAAAGGTCTTGCGCGCGTCAACGGGCTCCATCTGTGACGTCGCCACCCACCTACACACACAAAACTCTTTAGAGTCTCTCATTTAGCGTCATGCAATACGGCTACTGATCTTTCGCTCTCTCACTGTGTCTGTCTGTCTGTCGGCTCGTCCGTCCGGCCGTCCAACCGCCCGCCTGCCGGATCACCCACCCGCCCGATCGCCCGTCCGACTGGCCGGCCATCCACCCATCCAACTATTTATCTATCTATTCATCAATCCGTCTATCCGTCTGTCCATCTATCTCGCTTTCTCCTCCCCTTTTTATATATTTATATATAACACCAATGTTATTATGTAATAACCAGAGATTACTCAATGATAATAATACCGAAAAAGGATACGATTAGATTTATTTTAAGAAAAAGCAAGATGACGTCGAAAAAAACAGTATAATTAATTTAAGATCTCATTTCTCTCAACTACGCAATTATTGTATAAATATTGGTGAGAATTTTCGAGCTCGTGTGCTCAGTCTTCAAAGATCGCAAACGAGCAAGGGCGTTTGCACACGCGGCAGGTTAAAGCGCCCTCGCGCGACGCCTTTACACATTTTGACATTTTGCACATTTTCCCTCACATGCACGGACGCACAGCTTTGCTACAAACAGCAAAAGGTTTCAGTGGGAACACCCAAGAACAGTGTGCGAGTTGTATATATCAGGAGTGTCATAATCTAGATATACATTCTATCAATCATACCTATATCAATCATCGTCAATCATATCTATATTATCAAGAGCGTATTAAGAAGACTTCTTAATACGCTCTTGATATTATGACACTCCTGTGTCTGTGAAATTCCCCGTCCACCGCTCAATAACAGTCAAAATGACCACGTTCAGTACTGCTACCTGATATATTGCTCTGGATTTACTAGGTGCCATGCAGATATATTTTGATATAAAAGTGTGTATATAAACAGTATAACAAGTGTGTGCGCGTGTGTGCGCGCGTGTCTTTGACATATTTATCTATCGCAAATAACTCTGTCTCGTAGCTAGTTCGCAGTTACAATCGTCTAAGGTACAGAAAAGTTAGGATGAAAGCCTCGCTGACCCTATCGCGTCCAGTTACAGGTGAAGAAAAATTAATCATCTATAGCAGTATTTTTTTGCTATGCAACGCTGGGTTAGACTACCCCACTTTTCAGATCCTACCCCTCTGAAATACTTCATACAGAAACAGATGAGAAGTCCTAGTACGCGCCCTGCAATAACATGAATAGGCTAGCATCTATTGGAAGTTTTCCTTAAAGATTAGAAATTTTAGAAATTTAGACGACCACTTTGCCTCATTATATCACATTTTCTTTCTTTAATTACTCTTTTAAACCTGCTATAATGCGACCTCGCACATTACTCGATTTATTTTCCTGGACCCCAATTATTGCGTCACAGGGTTCTACCGTATGCAATTTAGAGAATTCTCTTTCTTACTATTATTTGAAACAATCCTCTCAAGACAAACCTCAAAATTATCCAGCTAGCACCAAATAAAAAGTTGCTCGGGTGCAGGAAAACCATCCTCAGAATTCGGTTTCACGCAAAGACGTACGTACTATAACGCACTTGCGCGCCAATAATTCATAAACTTGTTTTCAAAAACCTGAAAACCCCATAATAATAAACCTGGATAATAATAGCCCCCATAATGACAACCTGAAGCCGCATACTATTATTAGCTCATCTGACATAGTCAGATACAGCTTGTAGAATCGCTTGATCGTCCGTCCGTCCGTCCGTCCGGTCGTCCGTCAACAGTTGGGCACAAATCTTAACCGCTCGACGTACGGTCACGATATTCGGCACATTGGGGGGGATCGTCAAAACGAGTTGGGCTGTCGAAGCTGGGGGTCAAAGGTCAAAGGTCAAGAGGTGTAAAAGAAGGGGGAACATTCACTCCTTAACTTAAGGTATAGGGAGGAAATGCAGAATTGCGGCACAAATCTAAACGGCTCGACCTAGGCTCGTGATAGTCGGTGTATAGCATCATGGTAGGAAAAGCCATCACTGTGCCAAAATTGGAGGTCACAGGTCAAAGGTCAATGGGCACAGGGCAGATTTTAGACATTTTCTGAGGACATGGTCTGACGGAGCGATTGAAAAACTTTTTTGTTTCAGCGGTGACCTAGCATTTTTATGGCATTATTGAAAGGACCATGAAATCTACTTTCTGCTGACATGCGAAGAGTAAGTGTCAGATAACCTTTTGACCCTCAAGAGGAGGGTTAAACATGGATTTGTTGACTGTCTGTTAGAAAGAATTTGACTGCCGGGTTTGCTAGTAGAATCTATACATGCCTGGATGTATGAGGCTACAATGTCACAGTGAAATTTCAAAAGCTAAATTTGGTTAAAGAAGGTTTATGCTCCTTAAATCGTATAATTTATATGGCATTCTGTAGTGGCAGTATGTTACATGTAACGTATGCCACTGCCAGTGGCTACTGCCAGTGCATGTGTTGTGGTACTGTGGAGTTTTTGCCTTAATTGGTTACAGGTGGCAGATCTCTATTGCGCAGCCTGTAGGCTTGCGTAGGTAAATGGATGAGTGCTTACCTATTCTGTCTTGCAGATAGTTGTTGCTACTACGTATGATGGGAGCTTCCATCTTTAATCTGAAGACACTTAAACGTACGCGCCATCTCGTGGCAACTTTCATAACGATCCCAACGAACATTCTTTTGAGAAGGTTCCTGATACCATCCCTGTGCATTCCACTGTTTCGGCGTGTATGTGAACACATTTGGGACTAACAGGGTTTACTAGAATCCCACCACTCCACCACAGAGTCACCGCAGTAGACGTTAGATGAGCGCTGTCGCTCTGCGGCACTTGTTATAACACACTCTGACAAATGATGACGTAAGAGTGTCTCTACTCGGCAGCGCCCTACATACGATGTGCTCTCTCGCCAGCACGTATCGTCGGATGGAACCCGCTAACCTGGTTTTTATTGCCAACATCTTCAGAAGAAGTGATGACGCACTGAGATTTTCTTGATAACAATGAAGTCTTTGTTACCAAGGACACGCATCGCCCCGCCGCCATACGATCACATCGCTTAGCATAGCGTTGAATACATAATATGGTGGTGTCTCCGGTAAGACTCTAGTCGAGTCTTTCTACATTTAGGGTCGTTTACATAGAAATGGAGCGTTTATATATGCACTGGTTAAGTTCCTGTGTAAATTCACACACACACACACACACACACACACACACACACACACACACACACACACACACACACACACACACACACACACACACACACCGCATATATGAACGACTCCGGCCGGTACTTGGGTCATTGACTGCATTTACCTGTTGTGTGTTGACGCAAGGGAGCAAAACCACGGCGACACCACTGATATAGCTACCTACTATATATAGTATCAAGAGCTAATAATACCTTGATAAACCTCTAACTATCAAGAGCTAATAATGGTATTATTAGCTCTTAATAGTATAGCGTGTTTCTCTCAGTTTGTATGCGCGTCTAGTCTCCCTAATGTTAGCCTCTGTAATTATGTAAATCTAGCTTTGATGGTGGTAACCTAGCTATTACAATGGAAATACGACCGGAATGTGGCAGGTTTGAATAAATAACTGTTTGCAGTGATCAATTAGAGTACGCGGTGGAGGGAATAACTGCGCATGCGCAATGCGGCGGTGCCTGATACGGGGTCGCTGGCTGTAGGATGACCCAAGAGAGTTGACCTATCTGTCTCAGCGAGGTAGGCACACCTCCCTTGAATTTTGTCACCTTGCTGCTAAGTGGCATCTGCATGTTGGCACAATCTATCAAAATAACTGCACCAATACCAATTTTGCGACTTTGGCATTTCGTTGCGAAGCGTTGTCTTTTTGAACGTCCCATGGCAGCAATGATTGGTGAGGGCTGCCTGGTAATCATACAAACACGTGACGGGTATGTCCACTGCGGCGGTTTGCAAGACCATCCTCAGAATGTCGTTTAGTTTGCTACTACTAAATTTTACCGAGTTATATATGAGTTTACGTCTATTACCTCACAATATATACAGGCCTATATATGGATGGATAACTGGATGAATGGATGGATGGATGGATGGATGGATGGATGGATGGATGGATGGATGGATGGATGGATGGATGGATGGATGGATGGATGGATGAATGGATAGATGGATAGATGGAAGGATGGATGGATGGACGAATGAATGGATAGATGGATGGATGAATGGATAGATGGATGGATGGATGGATGGATGGATGGATGGATGGATGGATGGATGGATGGATGGATGGATGGATGGATGGATGGATGGATNACACACACACACACACACACACACACACACACACACACACACACACACACACACACACACACACACACTATGTACACAATCTACGCACACGCCTTTGGTCTCTATACCCCATGTTTATACACGCATGCGCAGTACCCGTGAAGTGAAGAGACAATGGCATCGCTTACATTCCAGCATACGATGTAAGCGTTTCTTGTCTATAGATCTTTACTTTACTGGTAGGGATTGATTACACACACTGCCTTCCCAGTGTTCTGCTGAGCGATTCAGAATATATAGTGCTTTTACCGTACTGGTGATGTGGAAAGGGCGAGTAAACGAGCCAATAAGAGAGAAAGATGATATATATATATATATGAGGGGATCGACCTAGAGCAGCTTAAGAAATATGAGTACAATGAGTAATACATTAATATATCATGTTGATTTGTTATGGTTCTTGTCGCCCCGAGGCGTGACTACCGCCTGACAACATTTCCTAATCGGAAACCAGGGCACACAGGACATTTACTATCGACAACCTTCGCACTGTACGCGAATAATAAACTGAATACGACGTTCACCAGCAGTGATTGAAAACAAAACTTTCAAAACTTTCAAAATAATACATAATTCACCGACCGCGAAAATTAACCACTCGCTGAAATTGTCCTCAAGTCTGAATATTTGTACGCGAAAAATACGGCCTATA